TCCATATTGTCGGAAGTTTGACCTCTAAACTTCCTTCGATCATGTTATATCATCACATTATCATATATTCTCCCTTAAAACACGTGAAAATCATACGCGACCCACCTAAGCTAACCAGTGAAAAGATATGGCCCATCAAAGTAAAGTGACTATTCCTCCAGTCCAACAAGGTGGAACGGCTGCTGGTTTTGTGACTAACCATCAGTCGTCGATTCAGATACCCAACATGGAACTTCAGTGCTCTATTGGGAATTTGTTTGGCCTATCGGATTCCGCTACAGATCAGATGAGTTAGATTATGTTGGATTAGCATGGATTAGCCAAGTTAGGTCCCAATATCTTTCTGATAGTCTATCTATACTATCTATCTATAATATATATATATATATCATATATCTATATATTATATTATATACATTGGTTGTCCAGTTATATATGGTCAGTCAGGTCGAAACATGCAATGAGGTCCCAAACGTCCTGAGATGTCCAGAGTGGGACCTCTCACCTGAGGTGCCGCGGCCCGGTGACTTTGAATGGTCGGTGATTGCCATGTGCGACTCCTACGCAGGTCGCGGGGGTCTTTTCGTCAAAAGGACGGTCCAGATCCAGGGGGGTTCTTGATATCATATGATATCATGTTCCCCCATCTGGCGATGCCCAAAAACCAGTTCCATTCATCTTGGAGGCATACACAGCCAAGTGGGGTCAAAATATGGTGGAAAAGCCATGATTGAAACAATGGGGGTAGACTGAAGTCCCGGAAAAATTCACCTGAAGTATCGCATTCTCTATGGTATTCTCCCTTGATGGGGGGTATCCCCATGGTATCAGCTTTAAAAACCGCCTGTCTCGCTAGGTTTGGACGTAACTTTGGACGTCCACTTCAGAGGGAAGAAGAAGTCTGAAGTGGATCGGCTGGATTTCCCAGGTCCAAGGGAGCCAAGGTTATGTTCCTTTTAGGATGTTTTATGTGATATCAACGTGATCCTATGTAATTCAGGTTGATTGTGGTTGTTTGTGGTTGTTTGTGGTGGCCATGAGCATAATTATATATAATATTATATAATTATATCAGGAAGATCTTTATATATCGATCTTTATATATCGATCTTTATCATAAATCGCATAAATTATATCATCATGTATCAAAGTTGTCACCCCAAAGAAATGCATCCTATACTCACCTGGGTTTTCAACCTTAGCTAAGCCCCAAGGTCGATCTTTATTCATCCGGAGGCACACCGGGCACGGGAGCTTCAAGGGCTTAAAGGATAGCCCAACCAAAACGGAAAAGGGCATCAATGTTTTTTTTTGCAGTTTTTCCTGATTTATGGGGTATGACGGTATCTCTGCAAGTCTCACAAAAGATGGAGACTAGTTTCTAGCAATTTAGATTTGGTAAATGCGGCTTTTGAATGTGGTTTGAATGCAGACATTCGATCTCAGCTCGTCCAGGATGCGGAGATTCGCAGTTTCTTCGAAGAACTGATGATGGGTCTTGATCAGGACCTGTTTTTTGGTCACAACGGTAAACCAACAGTTTTTGGGCTATGATTCGCAGGTAAAGTACCCATGGGTACCCATAAAAGGCGGCAGATTCGCCAGGTTTCGACCCATCCGGATGGTCGACCCCCACTACTGGCTGATAAACGTGGACCCAAATGTTAACCATGTTTTAAAATGCGAAAAACCACTCACTCTTAAGATACCTATGAAAATTATTGAAAATTGCTAAACATACGTCAAACCACTAAACATGTGCGGTAAAATCATGTATATTGCAGGTGAAAAAGGGTATCACTCAAAGCGTTTCCCCCAGGACCACGAATCGGATTCTGAAGATGAAGAGGATGATTCTGCACGGCAGCAACAGATGCATCTGGGTGGCAAGTCATGGTGCAAGTCGGAGTGAAAATCTATTGGCCTCCTACTTGGGGGAGCGCAGTTGGGGGTAGAATGGGCTATAACCCTCCAATGGTCATATTATATACATATTAATATATACATATATACACACATGTAATATTGTACTGCATGGTTTAATAGCACAGCTTTCAATACACAGCCGCGTCCTACGGTTTTTTCGCTTTCCTGTCTTCGCAATTTGTGGGATCCAGGACTGCAGCAGCCTGGGTGACAGTTTTGGCTCAGGCTCGGCTTTGATTAGGATCTCGCAGCCATGGCTTCGCACATTGCGGAATACGTTCTCCAGCATGGTGCATCAGTAATTGGATGTTTGGGCATTCTGATAGTACATGCAACTTTGACCAAGGAAGATTTTCGAGTTTTCTATGAACACTTTCGCCAGTGGTGTTCCAAGACATCCTTCCGCAAGCAGCGAGACGAGCAACAGCTGCGGTACCAAAAAGAGCTTTTGCAGGCGAGGCTTCAAATGCTTCCAGTTGCCAATCAAGTGCTGGTACAACTGGCTTTCCTAGTGGGTTTCGTTGCACTTTGGAGATTCTTGAAGGATCAGAGCTTTGCCTCGATATGTCAAGTTGCTGGAATGATGCTGGCCTATGGCCTACACTCCTGCTCCCAAAGACTTGTCAAGACGGATCTTCAATTTCGTGTATTTGAAGTGGTGGTCCTGTCAGTTCATGGGCTTATGACCGCTGGACTCGTTGGTGAATCTGATATTATGACCCTTTTCTTTGCGGAGAAAGTGCTGGGAACGGGACTTGTCTTCATGTCTGTCACTCTATTCGACCTGAAGATGACTTTGAGTACCCAAATTTGCGAAGCCGTGCTTCTCATGTACAAGCAGTTTCAACTAGTTGGCTTTGAACAGGTAACATTGTTAATGTTCACATCTTCACTGACCTCGCATTTTGTCACTGCTGTACTCATTGTGTTCACAGATCGTATCATACGATCCAACATCTTTGCCAAGATGAATTCCAGCGACGCATCGTCGATGATGTTGGGATTCCGCCAGGTGTTGCGAGGAGTTTGTGATGGTGATTTACTCTTGGACAAGAGCAGCTGCAGCATTGTGGATGATGCAAGCTGCCTCGAACGCTTGCTGAAGTCCAGTAAGAAATTGTCCAAGACCAATTTCCTGGATCTCTTCCTGGACTCGGAAAGTCGCCAACGATTTTTGCACTTTCTGAGTTCGGATCCTGAGGCAACGCCTGCGATGCCTCGAGGCTTGAGGCTTGCTTTGCAGGGTGCTGATGGACTGGTGTCCATCGACGTGTTCCACACCCAGGTCTCCAACCAAGGTGCGACAGGCAATGACTACTGCTTGTTGGCATCTTTGCATTGTAGCAATTGTAGCACTACACTTTTCTTCTGAATCCGATGAGCTTTTTCTTGGCCTTTATTGTTCGGATCAAGTTGGATCAAGCACATAGCCCACTCATGCCCACTGAAACTTGATGACTGGGGATGAAAAACTGGGGATACCAAGGCATTAAAAGAGGATCCAGAGCAATCAGCCCCTCCTGATGCGCCTGAAACTACGCCACCAACTACGTCAGTGAAGTCTGAAGCAATCCCATCTCGATGTAGCAGCACGGTCTCGGAAGTTGCCAGGCTTTTATGAAAGATCTGTGACAATTTTGAGATTTGATCAATTTGATCATGCCTTCAATGTCTTCAGGAAACCATGGTTGTTTTCCATATCCATATCTATTTTTGGAGGAAATCCTGGCCCCACCATACCATGGGGACTTTTTCACCGAACTTATCCATATCTACTATAGTTATCTTACTTCACTGCGGGGTATTTTGAATGTTCCCATTGCTTAGGAACGTGGGAGTCTACTGGGATCTTTTTTTTTGGTGCCCTGAAAACACATCCGTAAGGTTGTGGAAGCTTACGATGAACTAGTTGAGATTGCCTCTTGGTGGTGGTTTGATTCACATGGTGTTTTTGTTTCGCCATAAAATTATGCGTGGATCGGATGATCATGAATTTCCTTGGGACTTGGGGTATAGATGGGCCTAGAATTTCCCGAAACTTTCGACCAGGCCTTGTTGGTGAGCAATGAGAACGCAATGTTTGATATTAAGGAGGCGCATCTTGCTTTCAGGCGGCAGAGCTCAGAACCAGCCATTGAATCTGGAATGCCCACACTGCGAAGATTCATCCGGCCATCGGATTGGGATCGCATGGAGAAGATGTTTGACATTGTGACCAATCTCCCTCCTTCGGATGTGCAGCAGCGTTGCACCTTCCGCCATCCAATGTTGTTCAGACTTCCAGGTGAATCTCGAAGCTATCTTCGTTCCAGACAAACCTCAGTGTATCTGGCTGGCCAAGTAGTGCCAGACCATCCCGCCCATTTCTGGATGAATTTCTCGTCCTTTGACGCAAGTCAAATCCGTCGTCCCAGAGAACCGGAGCTGCAGGGCATTTATGAAGAGTCATAGGGTGACTCAGGGTGACTGTGACTTTAAATGATTTTAATATATGTACACGGGTGGTATAACCCATCTAATATATGTTTAATTCATGTTCTATGACTATATTTATAGCATTGCCTGATCCCTGAGCCCCACCAACCTGCAAGTTATACAGCTTACGAACGGGCAGGTTCTCGGGGCCAATGGTAGGGACAAGCATAATTTGATGACAGTTCCAAGACATCCCTGTCCCTTTCCACAGGGGTAACCTATTGAACAACCAATCAATTTACATTTACTTGGGTTGTCTCAAATTTAAAACCTTAAATCAGTGTTTTGTCACCGTTTCTCCCGTTTCTCAGATGATCATGATTTTCCTGGCGCTTTCTGGCCTCCTTTTGAGACAAATCCAATTTGCCGAAGCCTGGCACACTATAAAAAACTGGTGTCACAGGTGCTGGAAACTCAGCTACGCGGGTATTCAGCCCGGTACGCTGGAGTGTTTAGAAGCAAGCAATTTCAAAAACCGCGGTTGGTTAATGATTAGAGGGGGTTACTCCACCTAATATAGGGGGAAATCACAAATCAGCAGATAATCCTCATTCACCAACTATTATGTTGCAGCTTTCCCACAGGTTTCTGTGTAGAATCTGCAAGTTCGCAAAGCCGAGCAAGGAGAAACACTGGCTGCCTTCATGTGGTTTGAGATCGTGTTGATGGATTCTAAAGACTTGCTAGTTGGATCTAACATATCTGGTGGTTTGGAACATGACTTTATTTTCCCAGTTGGGATGATGATCCAATCTGACGAAGTCCATCATTTTTCAGAGGGGTAGGGCTCAACCACAAACCAGATATTCTAAAATCCGTCGATAGTTGGAACACAACAGGTGGCCATGGACCTCTCTGGGTAGAGTGATGGGAAAGACATAAGTGGAACCACCCTCATTTGCTGGTGGTCTACATATACGCTTACTGTTAGATGATGTTAGATGTATCTATGGGTTCCAAGTTTAAGCCAGGTGGTTTCAAGGCAAACTATTCCTGACACTTCCATTTCCCATGCCAACAAATTGGCGCTGGTGATCTGAAGGGCAAAAATCACCAAGCAATGATTGATCTTCCACTTTTTGTAGTGATCCCGCTACATCCCTGCGATACCTAATATGAAAATGGATGCCGAATCGGTAGTTTCATAGGTTCACATGCCAATTTCCCTCATGTTTGATGCTTCAACCCACATGTTTCATGCTTCAAATCTTCATTGTTTCTTGGTCTAAGCCCCATGTTTCATGTATATAACACTATATAACAATATATAGCATATTATAACATTGGAAAACCAAATAAAACATTATAAGATATTATAGGACCAAGTGTTTTATGATTTTTCTCCTCTTTTTTGGACCATTTTGGACCTTTTTCCATCATTTTTTCCCATTTTGGTGGCTGATCCCAGGCTGAAACGCGATGCCAAAAAGGCCGCGGGGGTCGCGGAGGTCGCTGCGGTGGAAGCGCAAGCTGAAGGGGCCGAAGGGGCCGAAGAGGAGGTGGGATCCTGATGGGTTTGGGGATAGGATATGAATGTTCTATAACTATAATAATACTATAATATTTATATTTCATTATAGTTATAGAAATTGGAACATTGTAATAGAAATATAATTATAAATATAGTTATATAAATATCTAATACTAATATTTCATTTTAATAGCTATAGAAAATAATCATTTTTAATGGAAAAACCATTATAAATGGGCCATTTTCCATAGCTATGTTAAATTACCAGAGGGTAATATTTATATTTCATTATATTTATATAATTATTAGATATTGGTATTCTCCATCTTAAACACACACACATATATATATATGTTAAATTCTATCCTTGTATATGGCTTAATATGTAATATATATATATATACAGTACTGCTTCTGAAACTTGGTTCAGCCATTACTTCATGTTAACCAATACAGAATTGACTCCAACAGACCTTTCCATGGATAAGCCAACGGTAATTCATATGATCATAGTATAGTATATGCACCGTATAACGTATAGTATCTACCTGGGTTGGCCCAGCCTAGAACAGGTTTAGGGATGGCTATCAGCCAAAGTTTGTCCCCAGTCTGTTTGTTTCGAGATCATTGTCAGCATCAAAAAACACAATATTTGATAACACACACACACATATATATATATATATATATGTATGTATATATGTGTGGACATACACATGTATATGTATAATACATGTATTGTGTTATGTTATGTTATGTTATGCTATGTTATGTTATGTTATGTTATATGATGTCATGGCATGTAATGTCATGTCATGTGACGTAATGTAATGTATTGATATCCCACTTCGGATTTTTTAAAGATCCCCAACAACATGGGGATTTCCCAGCTACTTTTTTTCAAGGCTCCGACCTTTTCGCAGGTGACCGCCGACAACGGCTCCGGTGCCAAAGAAGATGCAGGCGCCGGTTGGATCGGTTGGTTGAAATCAAAGGGTCAAGTTGCAGAAGACCCAGCATCTATATTTTGTCATAGGTTCTTTAGTATCCAAATACAAGCAAATAAGTACATAGATAAATGAATAAATACACACACATATATATATATAAACTCAGTTTGCTATGAGGATCTAGGATTTTCCAGCAATACACGCATGGATTCATTTTCCTGAGAAGCTTCATCAGTTTCTCTGACCTTGGGATTTTTGGCATGACCCATCTTCCGATCTGCTGAATCCCCGAGTTCAGAGATCCTCGGCGGAACTCTCCCAGGTTCTGATGAAGATGAAGAAGAGAAGCAAGTCCCGGAGGGGTCGCCGGAAACCTCAGCTGCTGGTTGAAGAGGCTGTTTTTTAGGTCCTGAGGATCGGTTTTCTGAACGGTGATGGTTGAAGAACTTGCTGTTGTTATGGTCATGATTATCACATGATCATCACCGTTCCACACAAACATCATACTATTCTCACCCATGGGATGATGAAAGCACCAGCCAGATATGTTGCCGGGTTTTATCGAAAGAAACTCTTTCTTGTGAAATTCAGCATTTGTTGGGCAGCAACCCCAAGCCTTTTTTTCATTGCAGAAACCCAAGTTCTGCTAGTTCTCATCCCAAATTTCTGCGTGGACTCGCCGAAATGAGTTCGCCTTGAAACCCATGTTTTCACAAGAACATGTTACCCTCTGGTAATTCAACATATATAGCTATGGAAAATGGATGAACATGGAATCATTTATTTACCTGTTAAAAATTGTGATGTTCGATAGCAAGCTGTCAAATTTCCAACGGGTAAGCTGTTATCAGTTGATGGTCATCCATAGGTGGCATGACCTCTCCGTATTGCTGGTACAAGGGCAGGCCTACTCATCATGCCTGGTTTGTATAATTAGTATATAATACATTATATATATATACATATGGATATGAAATTCAATTGGCATCTTGATGAAATGACCGTCAGATGGTTTTATCCCCACAATGTATCCACTTTTGCGTCAGTGAAAATCAATGATTTACATCTGTTGATTATCCTAACCACAATTTCTCCACTACATCCCATTAAACTAGTCGGCAGAACCCGGCCTATACCATTATACAATCATAACATATAGCCCTGATGTTTCCTCGAGTACTTTAATTTTCAAATATATGTATACATAAATATATATATATATATATGTACATATTTAATATAATATACATATATATATATATATATATATACATATATATATATATATATTGTAGAGAAAGAGAGAGACTATTTAACAATATTAGACATATCAAATTGTGCAAAACTTTCCGCCCATCGAGCCCCCTGAGATTTTTCCGCATCATGGACACCACCGGCTGCTTTCTCCACCGGGAACCCACGGAGGACATCGAACTTGACAGAAGCATGTTATTTGCTACCGATAATATACAGCCCGAGCGCTGGTGAAGAATCCGAAAGCTTGAGGTCCAGGGTCCCTCAAATTCTTATTTTTAAATACAGGCAAATTTACACTACAACAGGCCGAGGGTCCCTCAAATCCTTAAGGCATTCTTAGTATTGTATTGCAGGCATCTGCACAATTTGGAGCAAGATTAAACAAGGTAACGAGGTGGAGTTGGCAGATTTGACTATTCATGCGAAAATATGTCTTCAAAATCGAGCTACAGCACGATTTTGCGTTATACCAGGGTTTTGGCCGCGCTGGGCTCTGTCGTGGCCGGAATCCGGCATAGCTGTTCCGGCTACGCTGGTTTTTGGCCTTGGTTGCTTGCAGTGGGGCCGCGGCGCCAGGAAAACGCAAAAACGCCGATCTACGCGCGATTTTGCGTTATACGGGTGTTTTGGCCGTGCTGGGCTGTCGTGGCCGGAATCCTGCATAGCTGTTGACACCCGCAAGATGACACCCGCCACGCCCGGGAAAACGCAAAAACCCGCGTAGATCGACGATCTACGCGCGTTTCTGCTTTTTGAGCCCGGTTTCGCTGGGCAGAGCAGTCCCAGCGCCCACTGGAGAGGCCGTAAAGGCTCGGGACCGCCGGGCAACCCCGGCGGCGTCGGCTCAGCGGTGTATCCAGCGGACTAAAGTTCAGCGCCCGGGGGCCGCAGCCGCGCCAAGGCTTGATTCTCCCCCGGCGCGCCCTTCACAGGCTTGGGCTTGACGTTTTTTTGCTTGAAGGAAGCGAGTCATCACACGGTCCGTGTAGCAAGTCACGCTCGTGGTCATGCTTGGCATTCGTTTTACTATTTGATATTTTCTATTCTTGCAATGCGCTTGCCAAGCAGATTTGACAAGAAGCATGCGAAAATAGCATTTTGTAGATCATGGGAAAAAGTTTTTTTTTTGCTAAGCCAGGCTTGTCTGAGTTTCGTGCGGTTAGTGCGCAAAAGAGAACGTTTTGGTCTCCAGTACAAAGGCTCACGCCTAAAAAAATAAACGCAAAAAGGAGAATTTCAAACCTCACTTATAAGCAATAATTTAAGAATTTGGCAGTCCTATTCCAGGGTCCCTCAAATTCTTAACGTACTATGTGTTTGGTATAGCTGAAAATAGGTAGCCCGCCTTGGAATCGAGCCCCTCAAATTCTTATACAGTGAATTCTTGTACAATACTCAAGCTGTATGTAACTACATCCATGTGACGTAAGCTACTATAAGGATTATAAGGACATACATGGCTTTGTTGTTTCGCAAGTGAACTGTGATGGCTTTGTTGTTTCTGACAAGTTAGTATCAATGGGCATAGAGTCAGGCCGGTGAATCCATCATATCACCAAGGTCAGCAGGCGCCAGGTGATGGTTTCAGCTTGACCTCTCCAGGAGACGGCGACGCGAGTGGGATCGGTACCGAAAGGTACCGTGCTCAGAGGCCCGAAATCCTGCGACATTTTGGAGTTGGCGGCTGGAAATTGGAGAAAATTCGGGAGAAGCTGGAGAAACTGCTGCGAAATTGGGGCAGTTGAAGAAAGAAGACTGGTGATTTTGATCAACCTCTGAGCGGTGGCCAACTACGAAATTTGAATTGGAGTATAACGAAACCACAAAGGGGATGGTCATTGTAACCTTCTGCACTTACAGGGCCTTTAATTTAGTTCCAGGTTTCAAAATGGACAGATCCACTCTTCATGGCTTCATGGGT